CTGCAGAGCAGCTGATCCCACTGTCTGCTCCCAGCAGCAGCCTGGGCCCACAGCCCTGGCACAGGGGACCGCTGCGGCCCCAGGGAAGTGCTGGAGCAGCTGCTCCAGCAGCGCCGGTGCCCTGCAGGGAGCACAGCCAAGGGCTGGGCACCCCGAGGAATCGGTGCTGCTCTGCCCAACACGTGTCATGGAACAGCTGCACCCATGGCACCCTCCGTTCCTGCAAGGACAGCACAGAGCACCATTTCTTTTACACACTCGTTCAGAACTTCCCAGTAAGGACTGATTTTCTTTGTCCAGTTGCTCAAAATCTGTGGATTTTTGACACGATGCAAATGCAGACAGCAGGGCATGAGCCTGTCCCGCTGCTCCAGGCCCGAAGTGCACCGTGCCAGGCTCGCCATAAACTCCTGCCTCGTCCAGTTACGGTCCCGCAGCTCATGAAACACTCAGTGTTCACTCCAAGTGCTTCCTGTATCTGTTTTGTTTTTTTTCCCCCCACACATTTGGAAAGAGATGGGTCTTTGTTTCCATGCTGCGGGATCTGTGCAGTGCCCCAGCGTGGCAGAGCCGCCCTGGGATGGCAACACCGCGGGCAGAACACAAACCACCTGGTGCTTGTTCCGCAGCAGGAGCTTACCGCCGATAACGGCGCCAACAAGCCAGAGCAAGCCATGGGTCCTTCTCGGTGCAGAGCTGGCAGCTCCTGACCACGGCAGCCCCAGGTACTTTCCGTCCCAAGAGATAATTCTCACAGGTTCTGGTCTTACAACCACTGGGAGCATCAGCCAAAGCACATGCCTTGCTTCCTCTTGCAACAGTACCGGGCCTTCATCCTCACACTGACACTACTGTGTGCCATCACCGATTCTGCTGGGTGCCAGGCTGAGAGGAAGAGACAGAATAGGCTGATTTCTGTCCTGCAGTTTCCAGACATCACATTAAGACCAGAGCTCCGAGTTTGCCAAGTCTTAGATTTTAACTGCAATTGCAATCAAACAAAAAAAAATTAAAAATTAATGCTGCTTTAACTGAGGGTGTCTGAATTACTTTTCCCCCCCCTGTAATTTTTGTTTGTGACAACTGTTGCTTGTGCTGTTGCCTTCCCAAGGAGTGGTAAAACCTGGCGGCCTGACCAGTTAGTTCTTCCAACTGGGCAGGAATCAAAGCTTTGGTGCCTGTAAAAATCAGGTCAGTTTAAAACGTAGGAGATGAAGAGCTGCATCATTTCAGCCCCCCTCGCTACAGACGCCCTTCCTGCTCACGTACGTCACGCCTTCGAGCTGGCACAGGACGGAGCGGGTTCGTGAGGGGCACGGCAGGGACACAGGACTGGCACGACGCCCCTCGCAGACCCCCACTGGTAAAAACCCACCACCCCAGCAGCAGTGTTCGAAACGACTTCTTACCTCCTCCAGAGCTTTTGGAATGAGATTCCTCTTTACCTCCTCCAAAGATACAAGCATTCAGAGCTGGGGTACATGTTTTTGGATCCATATCCAAAAGGAAAGGTCTTATAAAAGGATTATTTACAACACCCAAAAATTTAACTTTGTTTTGAAAGTTTATTGGATCATCTTGACACAAAATCATCACAGCAGCTTGTGGTATGTTGTTTTCTTTTTCTTTTTTTTTTTTTTTTTAAGGGAATGTTGATAGCAAATAAATTTGTGAATGTAACACATCATACAGTTTCAAAATTCTAGAATCACTGCACAGGATTCTGTAAGAGAAGACTCTACATGCTAAAGTGACAGTTTTCATCCATGAATTAAAAAAAAACACTAATTGAGGACCATTATCCTTTAAGACAATTTTAATATGTTCAGTTTCTAACACACAAACTGGCTAACCAAGGGAGGCTGACCGATACCAAAACCCACTTCACCAGCAGCGAAGCCTCCTGCAGAGGAATTCCTGCAGCTCGCAAGTGCAGCCAGAACACAGAGCTGGCCCTTGCAGTAAAAGCACCGCAGAGCCGTCGCAAAAACACCCTAACATGGCAGGAGTGGAAAGGGCACGAGACACGCTTGAAGTACAGGACGTTGACCCAAAGGATAAGGCCAACACTTGAGCCTGTTCCCCGCACGGGGTTTAGTTCGACTCCACCGGGCGTTGCTGAGCACCCTCGGAGCGGTGGCGGCACCACAGAAGTGCCCATCAACACAGCCCCTCCTGGGGACTCTGCTGGTAACAGCAACCAACAGCTCTTGACCTCAGAGCAGAAACGTTCAAGCGTGTTCCCAGTTTGCTGGTACAGACCAGCAAGTGAAAGAACTGGGCAGGGAGGGGGGGCGGAAATCGAAAGCCAGAGATTTTGGAGAAGGACATCAATTGAGCATCTCTGCGAAGGGCACAGTGACATTCCAGTCAGTGATTCCACAAGATTTCCACAGCGCAGAAGGGGCTGCGGTTGGTGGACTCTCCCTTTCCTCCCTCTACAGTGACCTGCTACAGACACGAGTCTGCAGCTCCTGAGCCACCCGGGCAGGGCGGTTCTGCAGCAGGGACCCAGTCGCACTGGCACTGCTCAATCTGTGCCCGCTGCTGCGAGGGCAGAACCACGGGACACTACGGGGACAGCCAAGACAGCACGACACCTCCGAGTTCACCGCACGGAGCGCAGGAGCAGGGCTGCATCTGCAAACTGTCGGGAGTACGAGGGCTTACACGCGTGGGCGTTTCTCCAGCCTGGCAGTGGTCAACCTCAGCTGGTGAGCAAAATGATATAAAAAAAAAAAAAGCAGGAACAGACCCCTTTGGATTTCCAGTTTCTTGCTACACCCTAACTCTTCAGGAATGTGAAATTGAAGTGGACTCATAAAACCCATCAGCAGAGACTGCTCAAAGGGGAGAGGCGTGACAGGCTCCATTTGCGGGGGTGGTCAAGAGGAGCAGAGAACCAACCAGTGCCACTTTCAGCCCGTTTCACACACTCACTCTCTACTCTTTCAGCTGTCACTAAAAGAAGGTTAAGGCTCAAGGCAACTACCATAAACAGAAACTCAAACATCCCAGTTCTCCCAGGGCTCGTTTGGATTAGCTCAAGGAGATGGAGGATGTTTATATGCTGATCACAATAGATCTTGAGATAATAATAATAATAATAAATCATATTTAAAAAAAAAAAAAAAAAGAGGCCTTCAGGTCCAGCCCCAGCCTCTGCTAGAAATATACATCAACTACAGCAGCCCTGAAGACATGTTCCATGGCTAAGGATCAGGTCAACCTTCCCTGGCAACAAGCACAAGCAACAGACTCTGTGCTACTGTTGATACAATTCTGCTCAGTCCACCATCCCACGCAGATGGCAAAGTTTATGGGATCATCAGGAGCTGCTGAATAAATAGCGCCCGCCCCTCCCTCCCTCCCTCCTCCAGTCATGTCACCAGGATCTCTTTGGGCTAGAAAGGGTTAACACCACAGTTTGTAAAAAGTTTTGAAATAAAAAGGTAACATACAGCCTTAAAATGTCTAAACTGCAAACAATGGTGGAGTTAACTGAAAAGCACGTGCCCCAGGATAGTACATGCGTACGAGGGAGAAACTTAACACTTGGGTCTGCTCATCTTTACACGAGGTGTGTTTCTTGTAGCTGGAGTATTTTATAAGGAATATTCAGCACTTGGACAATGTCTCTTTCATCTCATCCAACAAGTTGCTAAGCAGGGTGGAATCACTGCATTTCCCATCTATGGATACAGAGTTCTCTCCCTTGGAAAGAAAAAGAAAAAAGAAATCCATTAGCTTCTCTTAAGTGAGAACAATTTCATTCCCAGTCAAACTCCAGGACTGGACACCAGGAGGTCAGTCTGGGGAAGCCATCAGTGCTGCTACTACCCACCAGGGATGTGCTGGGCAACAGAGCACCCACGGGGAGGTACGAGCTTGGTAATGGCACAGTGAAAACTGCCAGATGAGCTAAAATTGCCCATGGTGTCCCTGGATGATTTAGACAGGAATATTTCCCTCTTTCTGTTACGATGGGAAAGGCTGCAGGTTTAGCTTCTCTCAGGTCTTGTTTCAGAGTGTCACAATGCTCTCACCTTTTTTACCAGTAGGCAGACGTGATGGCCTTGGATAGAACGACTGTACATTGATGCACATGAATCAACGCGTTCCACAACTATAAAGAAAGCAGGAGTTTTCATTTAGTGGGACAACTTTTAAAATAAGGTTTGCTTCTCGTGAAGAGGAACTACTGCCTTGCCTGGCCTCACGGAACAGAAGCTTCTACCGAGCAAGCGGAGGAGGAAGTCAGGGTTAAGATGATGTACGTGCCTGGCTCCTCCTGGCTCCCATATCTGGGATATTTCACAATAACGAGGTGAGTCATTTGTCTTTTAGAGTAAGCTGCAAATGTTTGGTGGCAAAAATGTTCATCAGAATGTAGATCTCTTCCCCAGGAATACTTTCAGTGAGGCAACGTCTCATGCATACACCAGAGCATGATGAAACAGCCATTTATTTTTCTTCATCCAGTACTTGTTTTTTTAATTAGTAAGTCCAAACTGGAATAGCTCGTGCTCTCCCTTACTGGAATGAAGCACTGGGGAAAAGAGGTAGGCTGAAGCACTGAAGATCAAGTTCAGTCTCCAGAGAACAGTTACAGCCCTAACTATAAGCAAGCTGCTCCCGTGGTACCTGCCACGTGCCTCGCTGGACTGGAGGAAAGCCACAGGGACAGAAGGCCAGTTCACTTGGAAGAACTTCGCATGCTTTGAGGATATCAATGTATTACAAAACTGGAGAAAACTCCTCTCCCAAATTTATTTAATCTGGGCATCATCTGCTTCTGTCATTGTTGAAGCCATGGAGTGTTGTACTTGCCAAGCACAGCAGAAATTTTAGAACAAGGAATTCTGCAACGAGGAAGACTCACCTGAAAAATGATGATGAAAACAGATCTTTGCCAGTAGATGTTGGAAAGAAATGCTAATTCCATCTACTTTAATAGAATTCATGTGCAGATCTCCAGACTCTAGGAGCTTGGCAAAAGCATCGCTGCAAAACAGGAAGGAAAGTAAACACTTGTACTAGAAATTCAAGTGAAATCTGCCACACTTGCCCCATGCAGACCTTGAGACATCTCAGGATGCGTAAGTCTAAGTACTACCAAGCTCGAGGAAAACGGGTTTACAGCAAAACCATGACTCCACTGGAGTACCAGAGCTACTTCCACACAACCTCTGCCAGCCTACAGGGCATACAGCTCCTTCTTCAGAATCACTTGAAGTAAGTTGCTGGATATATTTTAACAGTCAGACGTTCCACCAGATAACTGAACCGTACCCAAAGCAATCACGAGCAGCCAAACTCAGAAGCATGCTGTGGATCTTGCAGAGACGGCCTGCAGCCAAAGCTCAGCTTCCCATGGGCGGCAAAAGCACCAACGCTGTGCTCCCTGCGTGGCACTTACCTATAGCAAGGCGTCGTGATCAAGTATGAAGCGCAACTGAAGTGCAATTTGAAATCTAGTTTTTCATGGGTTGAACCTTCATCATTCTGCAACAGGTCAAAGGAAAGGAGATGAATGGGAGCCCCGAGGCAGCAAGAGGAGGCACCACCCCCACCTATCAAACAGGCACCGATGAAGACTTTAGGGCTCAACTCCCTCTGATATACCCTGGCTGGGCTTGAAGGCTCAGTCTGAGAATGATCATCATGCTACGGTATCAGGCCGTTTAGAGAAAAGATCTGGGCAGCTTGATTGATACATACACCTCGTGCAGATAAGGGACACAACTGGAGGGATCTGGCTGCACGTTTGATTGCACTCTGCTGAAATATATTGAGCAAATTGAACTGAAACTAACACTTGCAGATGTGGTTTTACAGTTCACTATTTCCCAAGCAAAATAATAAATTAATAACTCCCAGATTCTTAGGTACTGAAAATAGGACTAGTATCCTCTTTTTAAGAGACCCTTAAAAGAGAAATAATAGCTGACTCACAAGTAGCCACAACGCCTGTATTCACTTCCTTCGACCTGTTCATGCAGCTCCCTCATCAATAATTTTACTGAAGTAAGATCAGAAACCCACACAGTCTTATGTATGTCGACACTTATTAACCAATGCCTTCAGCTAACCTCACTTGTTCTGGGTTCCCATCAACTGTATCTAATTCCTATTACTATTTTTCCAGCCCTGCACCAGGCAGCAGTGTCCAACTGATCTTTGGGTAAGTGAGATCAGAAGAAACAGACTCTGGGGTTGCATCTCTCGCTAGTTGGTTTGTCTCCTCTCCCCAGCACCACCGCAGTGATTTTCTAGCCGGCAATGTGGCACGTTTCAGGCTGCGTTGCTCACACACTGCCAGGAATGACAACTTAGGACATGCTCACGCAGTATTCGGGGCACTCTTTGCACAAGATGTCATGTAAAAATACTTCTCACATCACAGAATGGGCTGGTGCAGCAGAGATGAAATGGTGCCTAAGAAAAGCTCTAAAGCAGTGCCTTCCACCCAAGTCAAGCTCCCTCACGCGGTTCCAAAGGAAGCAGAAGCACGGAGTTAAGGTGCACTTACTTTGACTATAAAGGACAGGGTTCCTTTTAACTTCTGAGCCATAACAATACTCTGAAGTGTAAACACAAACTGGGCTTCATTAGAGATTCCTAGCATGAAGAGAGGAGAGGGAGAAGTCAGGTCAGAAAATGGTTTCCGTATCCAAGTAATGGTTAGCACAAACTGATCAGTAGCAGCTAAGCTTCATGTTCTGTATTTCTGAACCAAGTTTGAAATTTTCCTTGAAGTTAGAAGAGTGATACACACAATTCCTGTTTTGAATTCACAGTGCTACAGCACTTAGCTCTTGGGGCTCTGAAAAGCAGCGGCGATAGCAGGCATTTGGTAGAGGTTACGGAGTGAGTGCCTCGGCAAAGTGGCAATATATTTAACCTGTTTGTGTAACTGGAAGATATACAGCTTTCCAAGCAATTTTCAGAACTAATTTGAACGCTAATGTTTCTCTGTTTTAACACACAAGTCTGTGTCAAGAACTACCTTATATAGAATATAAAAAAAAAAAAGATACCCCACTGCTTTCCATGGGGGATCAAAATGCACCCTGAAGCCACTAAATCCCAGAAAACTTCTGAGAGCTGTTTCAGTATTCCAATTAACTCTTTGGTGAAGGAAAAGAAATTCAAAGCAGCTCAGGAGAAGCCATTATCCTTCATCTCCATGTCTATAGCTCTTAAGGGCTCAGCTCCCCATCTGAATAAGCACATACTCATTAAAACTTCCACAGCATTTGGCCTCTGCCATTAAAATGGTGGGAAAATATCTCCAGAATAAATCCAGAGTGGTTCTAACAGTTCAAGAACCTATAGCTTTGTTTCATTTTAAATCTCACAGCAAACTACTCAAGAATTTGGGATCCCTGTAGCTGGTGATGCTGGCACCTTCAAAAGTGTGCCAGCTTGCAGTCACCTGAAAAAGGAACTCAGACATTCAGGCTCCCAGTCCTACATCACAGACTTTGCTCTGCTGTACAGAACCACCTGCATTTACAGCCATACTGTACGAAGGCTTATCCTCTCCAGTGACTTGTGTGAAAGCCCCACCGAGCACCCCGGCAGAGGGACATGTCTTTCTGGAAAACGGCAAGTAGCACGAAGTTCAAACAATTCTTTCCACGGGAGGGCAGTGCAGGACTAGACATACTCCAAGAACCCTGGGCAAAGCTGTGCATACCAGGGGGGAGCTGGAAGGGCACGGGTATCCCATCATGTACTGATGATCCTTCTGGTCGGAGCATTTTAGTGTTGAGAGAGTCCAGGACATTTAGTTCCATGCTCTTAAGGAAGCTAGTGCTTTTGTTTTCAAAGATAACAGAGACAGTAACTTGACTATCGTTCTGGAGGTTTCCTTGAATATCATAGGTCTGCAAACAAAGGGGAGAAAAAAAAAAATCACAGGAAAGATTCAGAAACTTCAAAGAGCAGAGCACCAGAACAGAATACAGCATCAGAATGAAGCAAGTTGCAAAACGAAAGCAATTTGATACGCCTATAGAATAGTGAGAAACACACTGCTGACCAGTTCCACAGCACTGCTTAGTGGGAACACATCAACTTAAAAACTTGTCATGTCGGACATCCAAAGGAATGGAAACGGGGCTTTGTTACATTTCTACTTCCTGGGATTTAAGCAGTTCTTCAGCTAAACGTTGCCTACATAAAGTCGCTACACTATGCGTGGTGTATCCCCTCTTTCTTTGGAGAAGACAAAGAGCAGACATCGGGATTTGAACACCAATAAACTCACCATTTTAATGTATGGATTTTCAGCAAGAAGGCGGTAACTGGACATAGGCTGAAAGACAAGACAGAAATCACAGTCGTAATACAATTAACTTCTCTGAGAAGAGCTGTCATTCTCCTTCCTCCCAAGACAGTTTAGCTCCTGCCTTTCCCCAGAGGCAAGTGCCACCAGTGCACAGCTACTCACTGGTAGTGGTTCATCATCTAGTGTTCCATTCTGCACTGACTCTGTTGTCTCCTCCTCGCTGTGATGACTCTTCTTTTTGGATTTCTTTTTATCCTTTGATTTCTCTTCTTTCTCTTTCTTGTGCTTTTTCTTCTTATGCTTGGAGGATTTCTACCAAGAACAAAAAGAAACTACAACAAACCCTTAAAGAAACCCTGTATTTCCAGCCATTGCATCACGACTCCCCTACTAATCTTTCAACTCCAGACTCTCGCTCTGCACAGCCTTCTGGATGACCGAACAGAGTTCCCTACTACTGCAAAAACCCGAAACAAAGTTCCCATTCCTTAAACCCCAACAGTCATTCTGTGTTGTCTCAGTAAACCCCTGCTCAGATGACAATACTTTAGCCCAAAGCAGCCTGGCATCAGCAGAAGGCCAAACCTCTTCAGCTGTTTGGAAGCTCAGCTTTACAACTGCTACCTGACCCTTGGCTCAAGGAACAACCAAATCTCTTACTACGAAGCGTTCGCAGCTCCTCAAGGGCGTAACACCCCACAGCTGCCTATTTTCAGGTGGTTACTACACCGAATAGGATGCTGTTGGTAATTCCTGTGTGCTTCTTTTTAAGGAATACAAGACGCTGGGAGACTATGGCTAAGGGTGTCAGCAACTTAAACCACTTACCTTTCCCTCATCATCCTCCTCCTCCTCATCTCGCTCTTCCCTTTCTTCCTTTTTTACCTCTTGAGGTTCAGCCACAACAGCAGCACCCACTTCAGGCTCACTCTGAGTAGATTAGTAGAAGGATTATGACACTAATGGAACGCAGTTGAAACAACTGAATCCCGCACCAAAAGAAAACTTAACAGTGATGTTTCCCTCCACACCAGCTGTTATTTAAAAAATTAGACTAACATGGTATGAAGCCTTTCATTTTATGCCTCTGAAACCCTGCAAATACGATCACTTGAGAATAAGATACAAAACATTTCCTCCAAGAAATCAATCCCCTTATATTCTTTGTCTCTTCCTCTAAAATCTCCCATCAAAATTCATGAGACTTTTTCTTTCAGACCGTCTCTCTCATGTCTATTAATATTGCTAGTGTCTAGCTCATACTAGGAAATAAAACCACAACTAATATTATAATATAAAAAAAACCCCAATATTAAAATCCACCAAGCCTGTAGCTGCAGCTGTATTTCTATCCATTGATCTGCACAGCAGAACGAGCCTGAACCATCCCACTACAGTGCCTGTAAACCACGGAGATAAAGTATCACAGCTTCAAAGCAGTAAGTTGAGGAGATGGAGCCCATCTCTCCCTTCTCTCCTGCAGCATGGCAAAGCACTCATACCACAGCTAAGATGCAAGCATAAGAAAAAGTTTCCTGTGATGTGGTAAGATGTCTACCTGTGGCAGGGTAGTGGAAGCAGGTGGTGGAGCAGTGGAGAGCCAGAAATCCAAGTCTTCCCCCTGAATTTCAAGAGAAAACAAAACCATTATGGTTGTTTTGGGACCATTCTTTAAAAACCAAAACACAAAAACCCAAATCAAACAACCCCTCCAAAAAACCCCCACCCAACCATCATCAATTGAATTGAAACTTGAAGTTTTCACGGAAATGCATCGCTCCAGAACGCTCATACACAGATGCTGCAGTATGTTTATGAGCAAATACTTCCAGCAGCTCAGCTTCAGCCTTGGAGCACACTTCCAAACCCGGCCACAGCCGACAGCAAATGCAAATCACCCCACGTATGAAATACCTGCAGGCATTCAAGGCCCACTGGCTGCATCTTGGAGGAAAGCTGCATCTCTGCGGAGCGGTTACCAAGAAGGATGCTTCAAGACTTCCAAGTAACTGACAAGTAATGTCAGGTTTTATAACTAAAAGATTCTGAAGCGCACAGGGGACAGGATGTAGAACAAAAGCGAGTTCCAGATATTTTGCTAGAGTTCCTCATTTTAAGAGCAGACAAAACATCAGTAAACTCAGCTTCCAAATTACTTCTGGAAGATCTGCTGTGTAGGCTGCAGTAAGCTGAATTCTGCTAACTTATGAGGCTAAGCAAAAGTTATTTTTATTAACAGAAATCTTTAAATATCTGCTTTTATGGTTGTAAAAATTTAAGGAAATAAAAGGTTGAAAACATCCAGGTGTTTGAATTGTCAAATGTGACTGTTCCTAAGCAACAAAACACAGCAATAAATATCGCCCATAACCGCAATTTCTAAAATAATGCAAGTCTTGGAGAATTACCTTTTTTTCTTCTTCTTCCTCTACCACTTTTTTCTCTTTCTCTTTCTTCTTTCCTTTGTCTCTCTCTTTTTCTTTGTGTTTCTTTTCCTTCTTTTTAGGTTTCTTGCTCTTCTTCTCTACTAGGGGAGCTTCTGAGTCTGGAGACTTCAGGGTCTCAACGTTTCTGTGTCTCTGCACTGGCAGCTTCTCACTGTCTGCTAAGGGTCTTAAAAATAAAGAGACCATTACCCTCCTGTAAACAGTCTCCTCAGCTCACCTGCTGGACGTCCAAGACAAGGTATGCTTTGTTTTTAAAGAGTTGGGCCTCAAGATCTTAAATCAGCACATAATTCTGTACCTGGAGTTCATTTATGTAACTGCAGACACTGTCCTCGTGGATTAGAAGTTAACAGAAGTGATCTGAACGTGACAGAGCCAAGCTCTTGCTGGCACCTGATCGCTCTTAAAAGCAGTAACTGCAGACTGGCAGGCTGAGTAACACCTGCAGAAGAACACGCACACACAGCGCTGTGCTGCACGTCTGCGGAACCACGCTCAAAGGAAGAGTAAAGATGTGAAAGGGCAGGAAGCATTTGTAACAGTGTGGAAATTCCAGCAGTGGCATGACAGCACGGCTCAAATCGCCCTCGAAAGGTGTGGGTTTTGTTGTTACTGGTGAATAGATCACTCCAATTGGAAACTATTTTTAGCAATCACAGAATGGCACAGGCTGGAAGGGACCTCAGAGATCATCTAATCCAACCTCCCTGTCATGGGCAGCGACGCCTCTCAACTAGATCAGGCTACTCAAGGCTCCGTCCAACCTGGCCTTGAACACCTCCAGGGAGGGGCATCCACAACTTCTCTGGGCAATTTATTCCAAAGTCTTACCACCCTCATACTGAAGAATTTCTTCCTAAAATCTAATCTAAATCTG